GATATATTTAATATAAAGTGTCGTAAATGAGACTATTCACTACATTGCAGTTTAAAAAAAAATTGTAGTGATTTGGATTAAATATAAAAGCAAAAATAGATTTACCTGATGCCAAAAACACGACATTCTTGACAATACCCAGCATTTATCAATATATTTAAGCCGAGAAACGAAATGAAGTTAGTTTTGTAATAATTTAAAGATAATTTTTGTTAATATCTATTCCAAAATGAAGTATATAAAATTAATTTCGCAAACTTCCATCCTTGTTATCATCCCTTTCATCTTAAATAACATTCCAAATTTAACAGTGTCAGCTATTGGTGCAACTAAAATATTTTTACTTTCCTATCTATACTAGGTAAGGAAAGTATTGCAATCGGGTAAAATTTCCGACATGCGGTTTTCGGCGGATCTATACGTTTCAGAGCCTCCCGAATCCGAAAAATATATTTTTAGCTATTGGTCTGTCTGTCTGTCTGTGCCAAGATTTTCTCGGAAACTGCTGAACCGATTTTGTTGCTTATTTTTTTTATTTTGTAGGGTTTTGACTACCGATGCCTGTGACAGAAATCCGATGCTCCATGCGCAATAGCTTGCGCTCAATAAATGAAAAACATGTTTTTCTATAGACTGTAGCGCAAAAACGGCTCTAACGATTTTGATGAAACATTTCTATAATGTTCTAATCATTGTTCTTTCAAATTTTAATGGTAACGAAATCCCCTACAAAGCCATATAAAAATCGTTCATTTTGGACTATTAACTATTAACGAAGTTACAGCTATTCAATTTCCAATGTAAGATTACGGTTTCATATCCTCGTGTCAGAAAGATGTTAATAAAGATGACTAAGTGAAAGTAAGTCAATTTGTTGCCCGCATCACACAATCTTCACTATTTCCTCTACTTTTAACAGATATTTTTGTTTGACAATACTAAGCTATGGCAAAAAATTTTTGATCACCAATATTAGGAAGTATTGACATTTTTACACTGATCTACCTTAAGCCGGTCTACATCGCTTTAGCTTATCAAATAAATCGTACTCAAATCTTATGTTTGATCAATTTTCAGGAAAATGTATCTAGTTCAATTCTTTTTTGTTTCTTCCTGAAGATATGTGAAGATATAAAAACTTTTCTGAAATAGGTAGGAAAGTCGTGTGAGTGGACACATCAGATATTTTAAGATATTGTTGGGTGTTTCATGGATTTGAAATGTGTCTAGGTAAGGCGAGAAGTAGTTTTATAAGATGAATTCCAGAAAAATAAAATAACATTTTTATTCAAGTTTTTACACGTAAAAATTCAATGAAATTTCCTTAAGCATGTCAGCTACTGGTGCATTCACTCAAGGCGCTTCGGCTCCAACTTTCAATTCCCCCTTTTCTTCTTACAATAAGTATGTCAGTTTGTCCCTTGACCTTGACTGGGATCAAGCCTTGCCAGGATTCATTGTTCTCCATAATTATTATTTGAAGAATACTTATCATTACTAATAACATTGTAAAAGAACTGTACCACCGATTCCTTACAACTTTTCACCGAAGACTTGTCTTCAGTTGCGTGTAGCAGGCAATTGTGTTACCTCTCAGGAAGGTAGGAAGTGCGAAATCCACTCACTTCAACTAGACTAGACTACATGTTCTTCCTTTAGAATATTACTAAGAAAAGTTTATTCCAATCTTCCTCAGAAAAACTCAACTTTTAGAAGTAGTAAACGAGGTAACTGTCATTCTTCAAAACTTTTCAGTGTTTTAAGAAAAACTTTCAAACGACATATTTTGTTGATACTGAAAGGTTTTCCGGTACTTATGTTATTTTATTTTTCTTGAATTCATCTAATAAAACTACTTCTCTTTGCTTATTTATGTTATCACATATTAATAACATACCACTGAGGCGTCGCGAAACTGCGTCTCATTTTGAAGAAGGCATTTTACTCTGCTTTTCCTCCTTTATTTATTAAATAAAGTGGATATTCTTCGCTCTATGATTGCAGTCCATGCTAGGAAAAAAATTAATTTATATTATAAATGATTGAATAACTTACAACTAATTAAAAACTAGCTCTGAATGGAGTTAATTTCAATGTTAACGAAATCCTAGAGCCGAATTCATTGCTAAGGTAATTGTTGAGGTGGTGTGACAGTATAATTCAACTAGCAGTCATAGAACGCTGGCTGTTACATAATGTGTAACCCTAACTCCTATGTTAGCTCAATTAACCGTAATTAATCGCTGGATGGAGGTTGACTGGCAGCTTAAGGTCGCCTAAGTGCCGTGAAAGCTTAGGCCACAGCGGTTTTCAACTCGTCCCCGCAGCTAGCTAGCTTTGTCTACATCTACTTTTAATGAAATAAATTCTGGAAAAATGAATATACAATTTTTTTAATTCACTTCAACCAATAACGGATCCGTATTCAATTTTGGGAGGGCGGGGGGTTCAGCCCTAATGATTTTATATATATTTATATATAATTACTTTAAATATTTTTTTCATATAACATGGTTATATTTTACCATTTTGGGAGAAGGGCTTCAGCCCGAAAGCCCCGTTTAGTAACATAAGGAGGGGAGGGGCTGTTTTAGGTATTGGACGACATTTTCTATAAAATCTTGAAAAATAAAATGAACTAAACTATTCTGTAATTCCTAAAACAAATTAGCCACGGTAACTAATGTGTATTATTTTATTTAAACAGTATTTTCATATTTAGCCGTTGGTAAGAATATTCTGTTGAACTTTGTGCGAATCTGCTAGGTTATAGCCCTACGGTTAGGCTTATATTTAAATCCACCTTTAGGAAATCGATTTATAGAAATGTATATAAAATGAAAATTAATGAAAAATTTTCCCACCTTTCTGGTTAATGCTATTTGTTTTGTTTTTTTCAATTTAGTATTTCAATTGATAATACTTCGAAAATTCAATTTTCCCTCTCTCGGGTTTTTCCATCGCCATTTATGTTAGCTTTTCGCTTAGTCCAGGAAAATAGAAGGAAATTACAGTCTCCGTCCGTCCTCCAGCGTTTAATTAGGCTAACTTGCTTAAAAGGTCCGATAGAAAATGTTAAACTTTACTCCTCGACAAAATTTTAACATTGATTTTTACTCTTTGATCGCTTCAATAGACTGTCTGCAATTTGATCATTTAAAAATCTCAGGTCTTTTTTAATCTCTAATGAGGCTATTAGTCTCTTTGTAGCCTTTCTGTAAACTGTAATTAATAACCACATCTTTTCCTTTGGGACCTCTGTCAAAAGCAAAAATAGCAATTTATTCTCAATTCTTAGGTAAATTAGTTGCTAGATTTTTGTTCAGATTGTCTTCATATTACTGAATAGGGTCATATAGAGTTGGTGAGCATGCGATGTCCTAATATCTTCAAAATGTTTTCGTTTCTATTTCGGGTTTATTAATTAATAATACTGGAAAGTTTATTTATAACATTTTTTTTTTTATATAAAAATTTATCTCTTCAAACTACAAACGCACTTTATTAATTCATAGGAACAACATTTCGAACCCCTTGACTTGTCTTCTACCTTTAATTATTTTAATTGTTCATGTTTTTTTTTTTCCATTACTCGTTGACTAAAAAACGTTGTCACTCCTAAGACCTTAAGAGATATTAAAGCTGACCCCACTCCTACATTTCTCTATCCCTGTTCTCCCACTCTTCCTTACCTCAGCCTTCAATAACTGGCCAAGGTTCCGACTTAAATATAAATTAAATTAAAATGAACCATCAAAATTAAAAAATATATTACTTTTGTTTCATAAGTTCTAATTCTATCGTTCTGACGTTTTTAGCAATTATTTTCATATTTTCCTGTCATACATTTTTCTATGAATTCTATTTTTATTTTAATATTCCTATTTTACAAAACTTTTTCGTTTAATTGCGTTTATTGTTTTTATAATGAAATATGTTTCGTAACGAACTCTATGCAGCTCACTTTCATTACTATTTTGCTCCTCACTACTGATGGTCAAGCTTTTTATTCACGCAGGAATTGAAAAAAAAATAATCATCGTCCCCAAAATCAGATTTTTTCACAAATTACAAATTAGGTTTTATAATAGGCTTAGGAGAAAAGGCAAGAAAGTCCAATATCTGTCTTGCTCATCCAACGATTTTGTAAACTGTGTCTAACTCAATGGATTTAAATTAATCGATATTTATGAAGTAGCGGATTTTTTAAATTTCAAGAACACAAATGGCCAGCTATCTCGTTGGGAACTTCACCTTAAAGCGCCTCAAGTCTTGGAGTTCTAACTTTAAAATTTATAAGTATATTTCACGGATCATTTACTGCAACATCAACTCTTAAATTCACTTCTTTCCTGCGTTTTTATTTTGCTTATACCACTAATGTTTATTTCCTATGTCGCTATTCGTCGATTAACATTGGATAATTTATTGACTTTGTTCTTGATTTATAAGCCTAATAGACATACAAAAAAATAATAACCTGCAAGAATATCTTTTTTATATTTTACTATTATTAGGAAAAAAACTAACATATTTTTAGTGATCACATGAGTGAGATATTGCCTATGTATACAAGCATATATGTAGTTGTATAAGAGACTTGTTCTATCTAACCTTTAGAAATACAATTCACTTTCAGTTTCGATCTCCACACCTAATTTTAAATGAACAGTTCAAAATTATGCTATATTTTTTGGGAATTAAATAAAGCCTAAAATATTTAGTCCAGTTTAATACCAAGGTTAGAGTACGTTAAAATATGTAGTTCTCAGTTCAGGGCTGTTAAAGAAACGCCGAGCTGTGTTTTCATCATTTATTGAAATAAATGCTGATTAAATTTTATTCATTCATGTTACTTATTATTATGATGGAAAAATAAATCCTTGTTATTTGTAAACATACAATCAAAATAAATTTATTTTGCCAAATTACTTTAGTTTATCGAATCGAATAAAGATTTAATTTTTTCTAGTTGATATAATGTTTTATATTTGTTTCAGATCGGCTTATGACAATGTGACAAAGACGAAGGTAGCCATAAAGAAGATATCACCTTTTGAACACCAGACCTATTGCCAGCGAACGTTGAGGGAGATCAAAATCCTGACAAGGTTTAAACATGAAAATGTAAGTTTTTCTTTTATAATTATAATTTAAAATACTGTGGAGTGTGGTAGGTTAGTGCTGAGCTTTCAATTCTCGAGGTTCTAGGTTCGAATCCCAGCTCATGGAACACACCCTGGCGGGTTTCCCCACGGCTGTTGTAACAGAAATTTACAAATAATCTATAACATTATTTCAAAAAATTGTAAATTACAAAATTTACAATACTATTTTTTTTTTATTTGAGAACATCCTTGCTTTCCATTAATGCTATTCACATAGGGTTAGCTGTCAACCTTCGCTCGAAAATATTTCATTTCCGCTATTACATTTTAATTTACCCCGATAGGAGTTGAAAGTTTATTATAAGAATAACTGTAATACATAAATAACTTTCTTTACATGTTTTATTTTTTTTAAGGATTATTTAATTTTATGTAGTATTATAATTTAACACTCTTCAAAACCAAGAATAGTACTTTGGCAATTTTTACAGTCTCTAAATTCAGTATAACATAACTAATTCAAAAAATAATTTAGAAATGTTTTTTTTTTTTTTTCAAGCCCAAACCGACATACATACACATCTACACCATAAGGAGAACTACCACTCAGTTTTTACCCTCTAAGTTTCACTATTTCTTGAATCTAACTCTTATTGAAACTTTTTTTGGGGGGAAACCCTGACCATGTTTACCACTTAAGGCCACACCATTTGTATTTGTCTTGATTCACCACTTTATATATATATATATATATATATATATATATATATATATATATATATATTGGCTTTTTATTCTATATATATGTATCATGAAATAATAAATTCTGCCTAACTTGTGGCAATAAATATTAGAGATGCAAGTGACACATTCATACCAAATATAGAACAAGTCAATAACAAAAACAAAAGAAAACGCTGTATATTTATAGATAATTAATCTGATTTCACATGTAAGAAAAAATTGAGTCCATCTCCCGCTCTTGGTCAGTGAATTTAAATGATATCAGTAGTATTCTAATATATTTCTATTGATAAATCACTCTTTAAAAAGGAATTGAGTTATTTTTTTATATCTTCTTTTATTAGCCCAGCAGATGCATATAGCTATCCTTAGCCTGCTCAATCAGCCTTTCCTCCTGTGCTCTATCTTCTGCCATGGTGATTCTTATTCCCAGCTTTCGGAAGTCACTGCCTACATTATCCCGCCATCTAGTTTTTGGTCTTCCTGTTGAGCACACTCCATCTGGATCGAACATATGTAGTTGTTTTTTTTGCTGCTCTTACTTCATCCATCCTGTGGACAGATGGATTTGAGATGCTGAACTTTTACAAGCATAGAAGCTGCTAGTTCCTGGTGCAGCTGGTATACTTCCCTGTTTGTCCTTATCCTTCATCTTCCTGACTGTTGAACTGGTCAGAATATCCGTTTCAGGACTTTTTTTTTCAGCAGCAGTCTTAAATGTCCATGTTTCAAATCCATACATTATTACAGGTTTAACAATCGTCTTGTACAGCCTAATATTAGTGGTCCTGCTCAGGAATCTACTTCTGAATAGCTTAATTAGAGCAAAGTATGCTTTATTTCATGAAACTATTGCTCTTATCTCCTCATCTTTATTGATAAAAGACCGGAGGTAGCTGAAATTGTTGACTACTTCTAAAGTGTAGTCGCTGACAACACTTGTATGTTTTGAGAGTGCAGGGATTTCTTCCTTGTTAATGGCATTACTTAGGTTTTCCCCTCATTGACTCTTGGTCTTTATTTGGTATTCCCAATTCTTCCATGGCCATAAATAGGGCATTTCTGTTGACAGTGTCATATGCTGCTTCAAAATCCATAAACGGCATCTATACCAACCTTCCACATTCTCTCATCTTCTCAAGATCCGCCTAATTGAAAAAATCTCTTCTATGATTTGTCGGAATCCTCCTTGGTAGTCTCCAAGTACTGTTTCTGCATATGGAACAATTCGCCTATATAAAGCAACAGAAAAGACCTTATATGCAATGGAGAGTAATGTAATCCTCCCGTGGTTCTTACATAGCGTGACATCCCCTTTTCTTTTGTATATTGGCACTATTGGGCCCTTTGACCAATCACTAGAGATCACTTCTTCTACCCAAATTTTTGCGATCAATTCCTGGAGTACGGCAGCAATTCCCTAGTTTGCTTCTTTGAAAGGTTCCACTGGAAGACCATCTATTCCAAGTGCCTTATTCATTCTCGTTATTATCTTTATAATATCCTCTTTATCAGGTGGTACATCTTTGTCACTTTTATTGTTCTCCATTTCTGCTTTAACCTGTTCTACATTCTCAGCCTTTTCACGATTTAAGAGGTTCTGTAAATTCTTCTTCCATTGATTTCGCACTTCTCCAATGACCAATACCTTTCCCTTATCATACTCAACTGTTGTACTTTGGTTCCTATGCCCGCTCTTAAAAATATTAATCTTTCTATACATTTTCCTTATTTCATTATTCATTCTGGAAGATTCAATTTCCTCTATGTCTTATAACAAGACTCTTCGCTTCTTTCTTCTAGCAACTTTCATGGTGTAGGCTCTTGCATCTCTATATTATTCGTGGCTTTGCCGGTTACACCTTTTTGAAAACTGCAATCTGGAAATTTAATTGCACTCTAAAATTTCTTCACTAATTTAATTATTTTTCTATTTCAGATAATAGATATACGAGATATTTTGAGAGCAACTACCATTGATCAAATGAAAGATGTTTATATTGTGCAGTGTCTCATGGAGACAGACCTTTATAAACTCCTCAAAACTCAAGTAAGGAATGTTTTAAATGTTAATTTATCAAAATTTAATTCTGACTTTATTTTATTTATTTTTTTATATGTTCTTTATTTCCAAATCGGTTTAGTGAGCCATACATTAAAAATAATTAATTTTTTAACATTTGGCTATGTGGGGGTATAGCCTCTTCCAAAAGACACCCCTAACAACGCATAATGGCTATAACTATGGACTATTAAAGTTTGTAGAATGCATGAATAATAATACAATAAATAAAGTATAAGAAAAATATAAAATAAATCATAATAAAATTTAAAAAATAAAATAAAGCAATAATTTAAAAAATGAATGAAAAATAATGAAATAAATAAATAATGAAAAAATAATAAAGTAAATGAATAAAATATGTATACAACAGGAATGAAAATATTGTGTGTGTGTATATATATATATATATATATATATATATATATATATAAAAGTCTGGCTTTCACTCTTGGGGATGATATTAGAGTTCCTATGTTGAAAGCTGCTGCACCTTTAACTGCTGGTAACTGAGAATGATATTTGGTAAAGCGTGTTTTAATGAATTCATGAATCATTGATATTGTTTCCATTTGAAGTTCACGATGGAGTTGACTGTTTCTGACAAACTAAGGGTCATTTACTGCAATTCTGTGGATCTTATTTTGGAAGGTTTGTAATTTTTTTTGTTTCGAACAGGATGTTGCATTCCATACATCACAACCGTAGACTTTATTTGATCTACAAATGTAATATGATACTTTAATGGTATTAAAAAAAATAGTTTGTATTATGGCAATTTTTCTCTCTTTTATTTGTTTTTAATCTTCATCCGATATATGGATTATATTTTGATAAATGAGGTCATAGTGGCTGAACTTGTCGAAACACTATTTTGGTGAGCCATCATCAAAGTGCTGAATTATTTCCAAATACTGAGGCTAACCAATAATTTCTAATGTTTCCGCATAATTACCCTCAACCTTCCAAGTATTGCCATAATAATATAACTGCCTGTCTTCCATGGTTTCAATACATAAAGATATTAATTATATCTGATAAGCAATCAAATAACAATTTATAAACGAAATAATGTAGTGTTGAAATTTAGTAATTCATGGAACACAAAAGCTAACACTTGCTGTAGGTGTTATTTTAGTTTTCTTCCTTTTTGTCACTCAAAGATTAATTCTTAATTACACTTTGGCCGTCAGATTTTGCCAGATGCCCCTGACGAGTATTACCAGATAGTTGTCCCATTGAGAAAATATTGTTTACTGCACAACCCTTCCACAGCAATTCTGGGTGGATACCCTTCTCTTTTTTGATGTGAAAACTTCTTTAGGCGCACTTTTTTTGTCTGTAGTGAATGAGACAGAGCCATCACGCACGGCTATGTAACACTCATTCAGGTAAAGTTGGCTCGATTTGACTAATTGTTGCATTTGGATTAAAATATCTCAGAAACTAAAAATTGGATCTACATACTGTAAGCGAGGGAAAGGTTCAGCATTTCAAAATTTTATCTTGACTCGATGCCATTATCAAGAGGCAGAAAGGTATAAATATAGTATCAAAAACCAAATTATAACAAATTTCATACTGATGATTCTCATATTAAATATGACAAATCCTACTGAAATAATGAAAATATACGTACATCACATATTTTAGTTATCATAAAACTATTGTTTCATTTTAAGAGCATGATACAAATGATCAGAGAAAGATAAGTTTACCAGAGTAATTTATAATTGTAAATGTTATTACTTTGTGAATATAGTACAAAAACAGTTTATATACAATTATAATTGTTTATAATGATGTAGAGATAGTTGGCCATGATATAATATGAGGAGTTGGTCAGAGGGTGCTGTCAAATAAATACTAAATTTTTAAAATAGTATATTTAATTGTTAAGCCAACGTTTCGACCCACTTTGTAGGTCTTCATCAGGTCTACAAAAGATACAAAAAATAATTGGTACATGGTGAAAATGAATGAATTATAAGTAGATATTAAATAAAGAACAGTTGTCTGATAAAGAAATAATGAGATGACATCAGAGATATAGTGGGTGACAATGTATCTATATATATATATATATATATAGTATATATATATATATATATATATATATATATATATATATATATCTATATACTCATATATCTATATATATATATATATATATATATGGAAGATACAAACAAAAATAGAAAATAAGTATGAATGAAAATAGAAAACAAAGGAGAATATAATGTGTAAGTTTAGTATTTAGTATTTATTTTAGAGTGCTACCATTGGGTAGTTACTCAGCAAGTGTATTCATGTCATTATATCAATTATGTCCAAATTTACTTGATGTATTTATGTAATACAGTTGTAAATGTCATAAAGAAATAAAAAAAAAAAAAAGTATTTATTTGACCGCACCAACTCTCATATAATTGTTTATATTGTAAATGTTATTACTACGTAATGTACAATGTAAAAAAATGAGAATGTAATATAAAAATAATGTATATTTCGTATTATTAATTCTGCCTTATTGATGTTTTCACTTCTATTGTGCCTTAAGCACATATCATAGTTTTTTTTTTGCGATCCGATGGTCTGAAAAATATTATTTTAATCATATATTTTGTAAATTGTAACTAGTTAAGGTCCTTCAAATATCCGTTTCCTGTCTAAAGATATTCATTTTATGATAAGATTATTGTTTAATTATTCTCTAAGGTATTGGTTTTATTTTTGTATAGATTTACTTATATCTGATATGTAATTTAATGTAATTGTAATTATAATTAATTTTGATGAACATTCCCTTTTACATTCTCTGTAGACTCTTAATCATAGTGCTTTGTTAGCTGAACTAATAATTCAATATATTTATATTTTTTCTGAAAATAGATAAATTGTTAAAATACAAGTTTTATTAGCAATTAATGCCATTTTTATTTTTCAGAGACTAAGTAATGACCACATTTGCTACTTTCTCTATCAAATCCTAAGAGGGCTGAAGTATATTCATTCTGCAAATGTTCTACACAGAGATTTGAAACCCAGTAACCTTCTTTTAAACACTACATGTGATTTAAAGGTATTTTTATTTTAAAATATTGTGTCTAATAAAGCTAAGTTTTGTTTCTTTTGTCTATTCAACGATTGCTTTTAAATAACTAAGCAAAATAATTAATTGTATGTAAAATATATATTAAACATGCAAACGCTAATATCAGGATTCAGTACAATATAGAATTGGGTTTACATAATATTACACTGAAAATAATATTCCCACCACAGACCACAGGTTTCAGGCTAATACAATTTCAAACTTAATAACACTTAAAGAATGCCTAATATGCCGAATGATATACTGTATGCTGTATGATGAAATTTGTTCCACAGATGTACAATTTTCACAACATAATGATTAAAGTAATTAAACTATAAACTAAAACTCTAAAGGAAATATATGAACCTTACAATTTATCAAGAATAAATTATAAAGAAAGTTTATATTCCTTTTATGTTTTAGATTTGCGACTTTGGTCTTGCAAGAGTAGCTGATCCAGATCATGACCATACTGGTTTTCTTACTGAATATGTTGCTACTCGTTGGTATAGAGCCCCTGAGATAATGTTGAACTCTAAGGTAATCACGTTATAATCATAAGATCATTTCATTATTGTTTATTTTTATTTTATATTCTCTCTCAAATTTACAGATGATTGATCTTTTTATCAACTTTTTAGGGCTATACGAAATCTATTGATATTTGGTCAGTCGGTTGTATCCTAGCAGAGATGCTATCCAACCGCCCTATATTCCCTGGAAAACACTATTTGGATCAGTTAAACCACATTCTTGGTGTACTTGGTTCACCGACACATGAAGATTTGGAATGCATTATTAATGAAAAGGTAAATTATTTTAAATAAGAAATGAAGATGAGAAATTTTTGGCTGTTCATTCCTATAAGAGCAGTTGGTTGGGGGTTGCTATCTATCATTTGAACTATACAAAATTTACAAATTATACAATACAAAATTATATTTATTTTCTTTGTGCCAATATTTTTTTCTGTGTTTCAAGCCTTCATCAGGGCTAAGCAAAGAACAGTTAACAAATAAATACTAGAAAAAGAAATAATATAGAGATAATAATAGATAGAAAAGAAATAAAATATACAGAATAATATACAGTAATAATAATAATGTGTAGGTAAAATGGTTAGCAAAATAATATGTAGGTAGTTAAACATAAATAAGATAAGTTTAAATATAAATAAGCTTATAATTCGTTAGGACATCGTAACATTTAAATATGCATATCTCGTTCATACGATAGACCTGAGATTCTTGAAAGAACTATGAAAAGCTTACTGAAGCTATCAACAAAGCTTTTGAAAAAAACTTCTGCATCAAATTTGTAAACTTTTGCTCATCGAAAATCTTAACTAAGGATGCATGAGATTCAGAAATGGAAACAAAATATTCTACTGATATTGGTTCATTATGCATTAACTGTTCTACATATTTCCTGAAATGATTATTCGTTGATAGATTCAAACCACTTAGTTATCTGCATAATTAATCATTAAATATCAATTATGAAACTGTTTGATGAAGCTTATCAATTATTTGTTTTCATAGTTGAAGGAAAACTAGGAGGACTTTAGTTTTCTTTATTATATTGTTAAAACTTGATGAAGACAGGAGTGAATCAAGGGATATAAATAATTACAGAGGGTCCCAAGTTTTAAATATTTAAAACATTAAAATATCTCCACTTATAACATGTAAGATAACATGTATTCAGTAAAATATAAATCACTGATATATCCCCTGAGAATACTTATTATCCAGTTACTTTTTATTCTTACAGTTTTTCAGAATCTAATTTAAACTTTAAATGCTTTCAGCATTAGAAGAATCGTAGTTAGATAATGGAAAAAAAGGGTTCAAATATCTTTCAGATTTCTAAAAGCAAAACATTTTTTTAATTTTTTATTATATATTGTTATAAATAGTATATTGTTATGCTAAAGAGGTCTTTTAGAGTAGAAATATATTTTATTATTTTAATGAATTAAATTTGTTGAAAAACTGATATTGTCCTCAGGCACGAAGTTACCTTCAGTCGCTGCCTTACAAGCCTAAAGTGCCATGGACGAAACTGTTCCCTAATGCTGACCCAAAAGCTCTTGATCTCCTCGACAAGATGCTCACTTTTAATCCTCACAATAGGATAGTTGTAGATGACGCCCTGGCTCATCCATATTTAGAGCAGTATTACGACCCTGCTGATGAGGTAAGTTATCAAATTGGCTCACTTGTTTAATGATTTTTCTAAAACTCTCTAACAGTGACTCTACTTTGCAAGGTAATTTTTACCTTGTAACACAAGTCCACTTCCTAAGTCTGTGTTGATTGTGTTTTGTAGCCTGTTGCTGAGGAACCATTCAGATTCGCTATGGAACTTGACGATTTACCAAAGGAAACACTGAAGGAATTCATTTTTGAAGAAACAGTACTATTTAAACAAAGGAATCCAAATATTTAGTTTGGTTAGACTTTACTTTTTAACATCTTTTAATTAGACACTAAGTGCTCATATGCTACTTTTTTCTTTAATTAATTTAAAATTTCTTCGTTTTAGAAAAGCAGTAAATAAATTTTGTTCAGTTTTGAAATTGTATCCAATCAAATCTTTTTTTGTAAAATGTATCTTGATGTTCATTTCATTCTACAATGTGAGTGATTTTAAAGGCCTAAGTAGTTAACAAGGAAGGAAATTGCTATTCTTAAGGTCCATAAATCTGAGTTATTAATTTTTTTTAATTATAGCCAACATTCCTGTTTAGATTTAAATAAAATCACAATTGTTATTTCAAATAAGAGGTCTTGTCAGTATTAATGTTCTGTTTTACAATTTAGTTATGAAAATTAATTAAAAATTAAATATATATATATATTAAACAAAACCCTGAGGCAGAGATTAGTTAGAAAAGATAAGAAATGAATCTTTTAGAATGTTAATATTTTGTCTTAACATTTGACTATTTGTCAACTAATTATTTTTTTACATTTAATGTAAATTAAAAAAAAAAAGACAAAAAACTTCAGATTTATTTGCAAAATGTCAGACATATTGGAGTTTGTGGTTAATTCAATGAAGGATTTTAAATACTTTGTATACCAAAATTTGAGGCCCCTCGCATAGAGTTTTTGTTTTTCATTACAGATTGGACTACTTGTGAAGTCTTTGTATTAAACTCCTACTTGGTTGAGATCATTCAATCATATTTAAATTTTCTTGCTTATTATAAATGTATTTGCTATGATTATAAATTTTATTCATGAATGTGTAGTGCTATTTCTTTTGAATTGTATTTCATCAATTAATTGCTCTGCCTCAAGAATTTAATTTACTTAATTAAGAAAGAAAATTAAGAAAGAAAATTAAATGTTGCTTGGAAATTTATTAGGATACTTAACAACTATTAAATCAAAACTCTTTGAGTTTATAAGTGCTGTATTAGACTTGACATTTTATTTTAATGTCTTTTGTTGTGAATAATTTTTTTTGTTTATTTTTTAAATATTAATGTTGGTAATTTCTTAAGTGCTCTATGCTTTCTAAGACAATTTGAATTGTTTAACTAACTTTATACAGTAAATATATTACATTTTTATTTTATAGCCATCATATCTTTGTTGATTCTTTGATTATCACAGAAGGAGTAGTACTAATAATTTCTCTTCACTACTCATTTAATTATTTATATTCAAATTACTCTGATTAATACAAGTTTTTCGACCCTTACTTGAAGATTTATCTAATAGGTTTGATATTTTCTTTGATTTAATGTAAAATACGTAAAAACATTAAATTATTTTTTTGGCATCCAGCACTTAAAACAGACGTGTAACAACACAAATTATTCACAATTATATGAGCATCTTATTATTTTTCTGTTATATATTTTATTATTGTAATGCATTATTTTATTTATAGATTTTAAACTAGAATCACATTATACTTTTAAGATGATTTACTGTGATTTATTGTTTAGATTTATTGTATAAATTTGCTGAAGACGATTTTTGTTATTGGTAATTGGTAGCATCATAGTTCTAAGTTTAGTTAAATCATTTGTTAATTGTCTTGTTGTTTTTATTTGGAGCCTTTGAAACTAAATAATGTGAAAATATCGAATTTCCAAAAAAACACATATGAAAATGAGATTTGATAGTTAATTAATAATTTGCCTCCAAGCACATTTGAGCTGTAAGTGCTGTTTAGTGTCAATGATTCACTTTTTTGTTCTTTTTTCCTGATAAATTATTTTTTATTTTATTCTATTTGTTGATTTTATATCGTGTTTATTTAAGGCTAATGGAGGTTGCACCTATAGTATGTATATTGAGTTTGATTGGTAAAATGAAATGTTTGAAGATTATTTTTGTGAATTGATTTATAGTTGCAAATATGTATTGTTTATACTGATTTATGTATATTATAGTTTGTAAATATTTTCTGAATATCTTGTTGTAATTGTTTATATATTCACCATTTAAACTTATTCACTAATCATGTATAACTATTTTATTTATACTTTAACTTTTAAAACTAGGATGCTGAAAGTAATGAAGTTTAAAAACAAAACAATTTATGTGCATGCAAGACTTGGGTTTTTTGTTATATTTTTATGGGTAGAAATCATCATAGCTTCCTTTAGTTTTTTTTTTTTTTTCTCTTTGACTGAGCTGATGAGATATTTATCTGTTAAAGTTTTATTTTACTTCATATTTGCTAATATTTTACTCTGTGGGTGGGTTTAAAATTTAGTATTTACCCTTTTTACTTGCTGATAAGAAACATTCTAACAATTTTTAAGTATGAAAATAATTTTTGTGTTTTAGATAATTAAAGATAAACAATAATGAAATAAATGTATGCATCTAAAGTAATGCTATGATATAAATATATAGTTCAGACTTAAAATCTGGTTTTGTAGTTTTCGTTTGGTCCCTTCTTCTTATCATATATCTTGAATTTTACCTAACTACCTGATTATTCATTAATTTTTATTTTATTACAACCCCAGTTTCTATAATTTTATATCTGCAACTATTATTTATAAATTGCTTGGGCCTAACTCCAATTTTTTCTTTATCAAGAAATGATTCATTAATTCAAGTATTTTATTCAAAAGATAAAAATACCTTGTTTCATCATTGCCTTAAATCAGAAACGAAAAGTTTTCTATTTGAGTCAATTCATGTTGATTGGTTGTGTGTTTTATTTTTACTGTACCATTTTTTAAGTCAATAAATATTCCATTAAGCACTCCAGTTAATAAACTTTGTAAAATGAAGTCTCTTTCGAGGCTGTGATATTCTTAACTTGAACGAATTCAAGTTCAAGAAATATTTATCTTAATTATTGTTGTAATTTACACTCTTGTTGTTGAAATTAGTTGAATGTGTAAACAAATACTATGTTTTTGTGTATTAAAGTTGTATACGTTGTAATGTATTTGAATACTATAACATAGATTTTTGTCAAAAGTTTAAATCAAGTAGTATTTGTCTCACAAATCATGATAAATGGAGTAACAATTAATTATTTTTACTTATAAATACATTGCACTTTTGCATGGTTGTATTGCTGGTAGAAAAATATAGCAATTTATACTGAGATAATAGACTACTGTGAATATGTTAATATCAGGTTTTTAAAAACAAAAATAATCTGCGTTAGATGTCCCCATTCAATGTCTATGTACTATACATACCGAATTTTTATGCTGTAAGAAGCTCTGAAACATGGAGCTAAAAGTGTTGATGTTAAAATATGCAGTTTTTAATGTTATGTTATCATTTCAATTCCTAGTTGAAAGAATAGCAAATTGAAAATTTTAAAAATCCAAAATGGTAACTATAAATCAATGTGAGTTGTTCATGCAAGAAAGAAAACATAATTTTTTTTTTAACCAAATGGGTAATTAAAACTTTTTTATTTTCAATAATCAAATAAGGAAAAATGCAGGATTAAACAAGATTAATCCTTAAGGGTAACCCTTTAGCACTTAGAGGCCTACACCATAGGCAGGCCATCCTGAACTAGCTCAGCCATGTTCTTGATTCAAGTTGCAGAATTTTCAGTGGCCTAGCATGTAGGTCACCCACCAATTGAATTCCCAATGTTTTATTTTTATCACTGTTTATATAATATTGATTAAATCAATTGAATCATCTGTGTTAGCTCACTTTCCATTTTGATTCAACTCAATATCAAAATATGGCTTATCATTAAGGTCATATTCCATTCCACCTTGACTTAAATTTGTATTAAACACATATAGCTGCCGATTTTAGTCTATCAGAAGGGCCACTAAATCTTACCATCAAATTTAGTTTTTAAGGCTCTGAATGTTAAAGGGTTAAAACCAATTTTAACAAAAATAAGAACTTTTACAAATGATTTAGAAAATGTTTGGTTTCTTGAAAAAAAAGCACATGGTAAACTGAATACATGATAGCATAAAAATCTGGTGTCTGATATTCACCAAATTAACAAAATCAAAGAAAATTGCTAATGATAAATATATTTAATCAAATTTGTTTTCATATGATAAGATAGTTTAACTGGGCAATAATCTGGTGATTTAAAGAGTTTTTAGGGTCCATCCTATCAACTATATTTCTTATAAATTAATTTTAGTAAATAGTGTTCATGAAAAGTTTTTTTTTTTAAATAATGTTTTATATTACCAACTAATTTTTGTATTAATTTAACTCAGTTCAAGATATTTCAGTCATTTTGAAATTTGAAAAAATATTTCCATAATAAACTAATTAAATTTGATTAAACTTAAATAAAGTGCACTTGATATGTATATTGACATCATTATTTCAGAAAAATTGCTTTTATACAAGTTCACTTTTTTTTCATCAATTGTTAGGTACTTATTGATTTTAAAATGGAAAAAGTTTGTTCAATTATGTCTGGACAGTCAATTATATGAAGTTCCCTGGTGTGTGTAAATAAGATTTTTGTATTTCTAGTATGCATCCCTGTTATTATCAAAAGAACAAACAACTTTTTTTGAATAAATAATACTAAATTTAGATGATTTTAATTTAAATTATGCCTTTTAATGGGTTAAGAAATAACCTATTGAAATTCACATTCAGGGATAATTGTAGTAAACAAGATGCCATATTTCATGTTCCAAATCAATTATTTTTGTATATTTTTTGTAAATATTCAGACATAAAAATTTAGTTTACTTTTTCTTAAATATAATTCTATAGTAATTTCTGTTTTATTTGCTTAGCTGTACCTGATATACCACTTGTTTACTTCTTGTACTTATTACATTCTTTCGTAGATTTGTATTCAATATTCACAACTTACACTCCCAGATTAAAGTCATTAGAAATCTTTACTATATCTTTACTACATGTATATGTTTAAAGTCAACTTTTAATATGTATTGTGTACATTATGTATAGGTATTACATTTTAAATTAAGGAAGTTAATAAATAATATAATCGCTGCTTGCTCAGCAATATTGTTATCACATTTACACATATTTTGATAAATAAAAAATAGTCTTTCGATTTTATTAAATATGTATTTGATAATGATAATTCATGTTATATACTAGTATTTATATTTACCATTAACATTTGGCCATTCAGGAATATTTCAGTGAGTTTTCCTAGAAATCCTTTATGTTTATATACTGATTATTATTTTGTAGTTTTAAACATTGCCAATAGCACATTTCATGTCTGTGATTCAGTATTGTCAAATTGTCATTTATAACATTTTCCTAAATATTCTATAAATATATATATTAAAGATATATAAATAATCCATAATTTCTTTTTCCTGTAAAATAAAATTGATGGGATATTGAAAAAGATTTATATTACCAAACCTCATTTACTTTTATTTTATTTTACTTCCCATGATAGAAGTAGCCATCCCATGAATAATAGTTCTATTGATGGTAATTTTTGTAATACAAATAATTGAAATACCATAAAATGGGATGATTGTGGTACATTTTTTTGATTGCCTTAATTTTACTGATAAGGCATATTACCATGGATGGCTTTAATTCCTAGATCATTGACCTTGGTTTCAATCAATAAATTTTGTTTTCCACTACATTAAATTACATTATCCGGCTCTACAGTCCAATATAAACCTTGTCCTCACAATTTGTCTCCAGCCATCTCAATCCAGCACTCTCCTACTTCGCGCAGTAACTCCAAGTTTAGTCAAGTCCTACTCCCCTCCCCATCCTTCAGCCAGTTTGTTCTGGGGTCTTCCCTTCTTCTTTTACTTTGGAAATCCTTCTTCTTCATCTGCCATTCTGGCAACCTTTCAACATGCCCAAGCCAACTAAGCCTTCTCGATTTAAGAATTGTGACTATCCTATTCTGCTCCATAGCACACCACCAGTCTTCTCAGAGACTTGTATATTTTCAACTTTGTGTGGTCAGAAGGTTTGATTTTATCAGTTTCTGAAGGCCAAAGTAGGCTCTGATTCCAGCCATGACTCTACTTTTAATTTTGTCACTTCCCTTGTTCTCGCAGTTTAATTCCACTCCAAGGTAGGTGAATCGATCAACACCTTCAAAGCAATATTTACCCACGACTAAATCGTGTGGTCTTCATCTGATTGTGGAAGCATATAATACCATATATTTGGTTTTGGCTTCATTAATCACTAGTCCGACTTATCTGATTTCATTATCCAATTCAACTAGCAATTATTTTAAAGCACTTTCGCTTCTGCCCAATACCACATCATCCGCATACCAACAATCTGCACCTTACAAGGTTACCACTTGGAATAATTTTTCCCACAGCTTTATGGGGGATTAAGTTGAATAGTATAGCTGATACGGCATCTTCCTTCGTATCTTACTCCACTTTCATATGTGATTTTGCAATTGGTTTGATTTCCAATGAGGACACTCGCTTCTGTTTGAGCCATTGTCATTCTAATCAAATTGATTAACTTATAAGTTATGCTATAATGTTTGAGAGCTTGATAAAGCTGGATCCTGCCAACTCCATCAAAAGCCTGTTTATAATCCACAAAAAGCAACTGGACATCAGTATTATGCTCATATAGCATTTTTCCAATATCAATTTCACTAGAAAGATTTGATCCGTAGTCCGTAGTATAAGGAGTAGATATCTTTAGCTTTTCCACTATCAGGCTTGACAGAATTTTGTAGGCTACATTCCTCTATAATTTTGGCATTGGGTCTCATCACTTTTTTTAAAGAGCACCAACTGGTTGCCTTTCCTCATTTTTCCAGATGCTATAAATTAAATCATTCATTCTTTGATGCAGCAAATCTCCGCTGTTTTAAGGATCTCACAGGGAATATTATCTTTTCCAGGGTGTGATTATTTCTTAGTGAATCTAGCACATCTTCAAAATCCTCATAGCAGGGTGATTCACAAACAAGATTCCTCCTAATGTCTAATCCATTGTGCTTTATCTTGAGCTGGGCCGTCCTCATTAAGATTTTCCTCAAAATGTTCTCCCCATATATTCATGAATTTTACATTTTCTCCATTCATCGTTCCATTTTGATCGCAGCATACGTTCAACCGTGATTGAAACTCATTTCTCGTTTGCATGAGTACCTGGTAAAATTTTCTTTCCTCTTTGTCCTTCCATAGCTTCAACCACTCCCTCTTCTTTCTATTTAAGTTGGTCGTTTTCTTGATATTTTTTGCTATTACCTCTTGTATCTATCTGTAATATTGTTTTCCTCTACTAGCTTATGAATAATTGAACGAATTCTTAAACTTATTGATGAATCCATGGAAATAAGGCAGATTCCTCTATTTATCGAATGTATCATTGATGGTTCAACCTTTTGAGGTTGATGGATCAGCTAATTATATCTCAATTTCACTTAAATTATTTTAATTTCATTACCTATTTCTCTTTTGAAATTCAATAGGTAAAATTTCCATATCTTTAATTTTTCATGTTTTGTAACCTTCCAGGCATCCTGAGCTTTTTATCCAGTTTGAAAAACCTCTTCCTCCTCCCTTGTTTGATGGTCGACTAGTATATTTTTACAGCAAGAACGCGGCAACTGTAATTACAGTTTTTTTGTATCCTTTCTTCCTCCCGTTTCCTGAGTTAGTTTTTAACAGCTCTGCAGGTATGGTATCCATCCCTGGGGACTTCTTTAATGTCTGGAGTAATTTCCACACATGGAATATCAACCTCTTGTGGATATTGTCCTCAGTGTGGTTCATTTCTTGTTAGTAGGTTTTCCTCAATTTAGTAGTTGTTGGAAACGTTCTTTACAGATGCTTAACATCTTATCATTCAACATCATCATTTAGTATGTGTCTCGCTTTATACCATCCTTACTTTCAAGACTGGTGTGGAATTCCCACTTTTCCAACCTGTAAATTGTATTCAGTGGTTTGCGGTATTTCTTTTACCTTTATTTACCCTTCTTGATTTTTGTTTTCCACATATATCAGATTAGTTCCATGTCTGAATTTTTTTGTACTAGCCCTACCTCTTAATAACTCTCCATGTTATTTGACCATGAGGTCCTCTTAACGACTTCTTCAGCTCAATTTTGAATCATGTTTCATACCTCTTCAGTATGTCCAGTACCTCTCCAAAAAATTCCCATTTCTTGCTTGATATCAAATAAATACAAAAAGTTACAAAACTTAAAAAATTGTTTCTGGCAATTAATTATTGCACTAGTACGGACTTGTTTGCACATTCAAAATAATATACCAAGAAAGTTTCTGTAACAAATATTCTGTCAACATTTCCTATTGGTAATTCTATTTGATCAATTTTCTACTTTTTGTTTTTTTCTTTGCCTCAGATAATTAGGACTGTTGAAAATCATATTAATATTAATAAAATACTGCAGTGGCTACTAGGAGAGATGCAGGATCCTTTAAGGTTTATTTAGGTAGTTTAATAGGTAACACTATAAGTTGCAGGAGAACAAATAAAGAAATCGTTGCTATCTAGAACCCATTAATTTATTTTTCTAAAACAACTCCAAAGGCATCAGCCTCTGGTTATCATTTTATAGATTTGTTACTTTTTTTCCAAACATTACCAAATTTATGAATTTCAGAAATTATTATTAGATTAACTTCCATTCTATAATATGCTTCATATTTTTTATATCAGAGATATGGGTGCTTTAAAAATCTGTATTAAATTATGGACCATGGCATAATTTTTCTTTGCAACTACATATAGATGACAAAAATGATTATTTTGATTCATTTCACAGTTATTTTGGAGTTAGAAATTTTTGAAACAGGCTATCAAGGCGAATGAGCTTGTGTTCACTATATGGTGGAATGGTACAAATGAAAGCCAAATTGTTGGTTCGGTATAACTTGCTTTCTAGGTTTGTCTTATCTTATGAACAAACAGTTTCTCGAATATGTTTCTCATTATAGATAGAAGTGCAATAGGTTAATAAGATGAAGGATTACTGGTGAATTTAGAATCATTTTTATTATAGACAGTTTCCGAAGAAGGGAGAAATGAGTTGTGGGTAGTATAATAAAAAATATAACTATAAATACAAAATTCTTTATTTCATGTTTTTTTTTTTTCTTTCATAAAGGTATGATAGTAGTTGACATAGAATGAAAAGGGGGAAATTGGAATAAAAAATCATAACAACATGAAAGAAAACAATACAAAAGGAAAAACAATTTCCTTTTAAATTATTAAGTTAGATATTTACATTTAAAAGCTCCTAAGGCTTGTCAGAAATATAAGAAAAAAAATCCATTCAGTCTAAATTATTGAATACATAATAAAACCAATTATTAATTATAAAATTCTTATTTTATTACTAATTAAATTTAAAACACTCATGCTTTAAAAGGGTGCTTGAAATTTGATATTAAACTCCCTTTGTAGTTTCTTATATATCTATGAAACAGAGGTTGACCCATATACTAAAAATATATCTAAACAGTTTAAGAAAAAGTTCAGTAATATAATAAATTAGTATGGGCGACTCCGATCTCTTCCTCCCCTCCTGTAACACAAAATTAACAATTTATAAAATTAGGATGATATAACTAATTAAAAGTAAAGAGTATAGATAATGTATTATAATAGAGATGACTTCTGACTTACCACGGAAGAATTATCTTTGTTTATTATTACCATATAAGTAGGTAGTTTTTAGGTTTGAAATTAACTCCACAGGGAGGAAATATATATGCATCTATACTTAGACATTTTATTGTAATGTCCACCGAAAACTCTTTTATTTACTCATACATTATCAGGTCGTTGTCATTTTTGGAAAAATTCCAGGTCATTAAAATAGTTAAATGGAACATAAATGATCATTATTATTGGATTAGTTTGCCCATGTGAATAATTTGCACAGTATATTGTTCAATGATCAAATGACAAATTAATAAGAAAATAAAACAATGCAACATATCATAAGATTTTATGAGTTAATTTAAATTTCTTTTCTTCCAAAACTTTTGTGCCTGAATTTTTGGGGTGATGGGACGATTTTTCCCACCTGAAGGAGAAGGAAATCTAAATGGATGGCTTAATCTTGGGATTTGATGAATAATATAAACTTCTCTCATTGATCATATGGACCTCAAGTATATGAAATGAGACATGTATTACATGACAGTACTACAATTAACGTAAGGTTGTGTGGATGACAACCCTTTGTTTTTACATTATCTTTAAAAGTTTTTGGGCATGAAAACGTAGGGTCCGATTATTCCGAAAGAACTAGCTGGGTCTGGTGTACGCAATTAAATTTTCAAAACCTAATTTGTTCCTTATAAAATTTATGTTATATAAGTCTGTAACATAGCTAACAAAAACTAAATAAACTTTGGCATACAAATAAGAATAT